CATAGGAAACATAGTTTTGCGATCGCAAAAAAGTCACCATCCTGCGGATTCATCATACAGCGGGGTCATCATCTAGCGAGGTACCACTATAGTTATAAACCCCCAAAAGTAACTTTTACAAGCTCTGAAATGGACTGATAACCAGACCTTATTTAATATCATTTCATCACATGCTTTCAGCCTTTGGAAAGGTGGAAATTGTCCTTGTTTTATGTAGAAGTAATTTAAATGCATACCTACAAGGGATATCAAAGATACTAGCCAAATTCTTTTTTCTAGTGGTTGTAGGTTGTCTCCATTCAAAGAGACATCTCAACAAGGAATTCAGAAGGCCTGCAAGATTCCTTATCTCCAGGCAGGAGCAAGATATGGAGCACTATTTTTTTCCCAGTTAAAAACAGTGTGTATCCTTTCCTTTCAGAAGTAAAATACACACAAGAAGCAGGTAACAACTGGCTAGTTGATTTTTTAAAAGTTTTTTTTTTAAAGAGCAAATAACTCCTCCCGTTTTCTAATCTTTAAACATCTGTGTACAGGCCCAGACAGCCGTTGCTGTTATTTTGCACGGAAGTGTACCTTGCAGTTTTGCTTAATTTGTGCAAAACTCATTCTTAGCCTCATTGTCCTCTCTTAATGGGAGTGCCACAAAGCATTTCTGCTTCTCTCTAAGTAGGGAAAATAATTTGGCAGCTCTTTGTCTTTGGGTCCAGGGATAAGGCAGGCGAGGACTGAAACACCTTATATGTCCATGCCTACAGTTGTTGATCCATCTGTAAAGATACAGTGTTCATCTCCCGTTACATGTGCCAACCAACACTAATTATTGAACCTATGCCTCAATGAACTTATAGTCAGGCGTTCTAACACTGACAATTTTATTTTTACTTCTCATTTGCTGTCTCCAGTATCTCAAAACAGATGGTAATGTTCTAAACACAATTTGTTAGAACAGTTTATCAAAATACAAACCAGATTAAGATATGCAGTACCACTAAGTAACTGAAACAAGACAGAGGCAGATCAGAGAACAGGGACTTAACATGGACTAGATAAGGTTACACTCCCTCTGAAAACCCAGGTGTGCAACGTGGTTGTGCTCCTGGATTTTGTCTCTGAGCCTTGATGTCCAGGTTTCAGTAGTGGCAAGGAGTGCCTTTACGTAGTTCAAATTAGTACGCCAGCTGCGCCCATTCCTTTAGAGGTCTGATCTGGTCATGGTGACACATACATTAATTGTCTCTTGGCTGGATTACTCTTAACATGCTGTACTTGGGGCTGTCAGGTCCAAAGTGCTGCAGCCAGATTGTTAACTCAGGACCACATAACCCGTCCCTGTTACAACAGTTTCATTGGCTGCTGATCTGTTTTGGACACAATTCAAAGTGCTGATTTTAACCAATAAAGCCCTAAATGGCATGGGTCCAAGCTATCTCAATATCTGTATCTCCCTTTATGGGCCTGCTCAGATGTTGAGATTATCAGCAGAGGCCCTTTTCTTAGTCCCACCGCCTTCACAGGCGTGTTTGGTGAGGATATAGGAGAGGGCCTTCTCTGTGGCTGCTCCGAGACTCTGGAACTCCCTCCCACAGGAGGCCAGGCTGGCCACATCTTTGCCATCTTTTTCCAAGCAGGCGAAGACCTTTCTGTTCAAGCAGGCTTTCACTGAGTGTCTGACTGTCTATGAAACAGGATGATTTATATTATGTTGTGCTTCTTAATCTGTCTTTAAGGTAAAGGTAACGGATCCCCTTGACATTTAGACCAGTCGTGTCCGACTCTAGGGGGTGCTGATTATCCCTATTTCCAAGCCGTAGAGACAGCGTTTGTCTGCAGACAGTTTCCGTGGTCACGTGGCCAGCGTGACTAGACACGGAATGCCTAGTAGATAAATAGGTACTGAGGTGGTACCTATTTATGTACTTGCATTTTTACATGCTTTCGAACTGCTAGGTCGGCAGGAGCTGGGACAAGCGACGGGAGCTCCCTCCGTTGTGTGGATTCGATCTTATGACGGCTGGTCTTCTGACCCTGCAGCACAGAGGCTTCTGTGGTTTAACCCACAGCACCACCACGTCCCTCTGTCTTTAGTAATGCTTTTACCTAATGTTAAATGTTATTAATTCTTCTTTAATATTTGAATAATTTACTGTTTAAGCTTTTAATATGGTGTTATTAATTATGCAAGCCAACTTGGATTCTTTTTTAGGATGAAGGCAGCATAAAAATATTTGAAATAAATAAAAAAGAAATCCCAGCCCTTTCCCTGGCTGCTGAAAGCTTTCTAGACGTTGTCTAGAGGGACGGGGTAAAAATTGAATAAATATAAATAAATAAGACTGTTTGTATCTCTGCTGGAGGAGACTTAAGAGTAGACTTAAAGCAGTGGTTCTTAACCTTTTTGGACTGTTTGTATCTCTGCTGGAAGAGACTTAAGAGTAGACTCAAAGCATTCTGTGGCGCATGCGCGACATTCCCATCTGCCAGATCACAAATTCGCAAGCTCTCTGGTGTCAGCATCTCCCTGAGTATGGTTTATTTCAGATTAGGTCTATCTGTTTTGATCACAGGCCACTACAAAAGCAACATCCAGTAAAATGCAAAGCCGAAACAATAACAGCAGCTAGTACAAAACTCAAAATATAACTAGTTTTATTCTTCTGATCATTTTCCTTCTTTCAGGATTTGTTTCTGTTGTTGTGACCAAAACACCCACCCACAGATGCATGAAAAACGAAAGATTGAAAACAACATTTGAGTGCCTGAGGGGTTTTCTTTGCAAAATACGGTTCCCGCCCCCCGAAAATGTAGGTTTTTAAACAGAAAAAAATGTCTGTGAATGTTTGCCAAAATGGAAAACCAGGGGTTTAGAAGGATCCCGGACAGAGGTCTTTCGCATCACCTGCCACAAGATATTTTTATACTGAAGAAACTATATTATCAGAATTTTGTATCTTGAAGTACCAAAACTCGTATCTCAATTAATTGCTACTCTAAGGCATTTGGATCCCACACCATCTGAGGATAGTTCCTCATTTCATGCAAACATTTCTGGCAAAGATGTCCAAGCAGATGCCACTCTCTGGTGGACACCTGCTTATTGTCCACAAGCTCCTAAATCCTAATGCATTCACTGGCTCTAATCAACCACAGGACCTTTGAATAGGAAGCATAGAATTCTACCAGTGGTAATTGCGTATTTCTAAGGATTTACAGAAGTACTTCATGAATCTATATATCCCTCACGCAATTATACTCGGGCCAAAGTTAACAGGGCTGTAACAAGGTCCTAAAGCATTCAACTTTCTGCACAAGTAAGAGGCATGTTAGTTAGGCATCCTTCAGTCTTGAGAGACTATGGTAACGTGCTCTGTATGGAGGACTTGGAATAGCATCTAGTGTGGCTGAGAAGGCCAATTCGAGAGTGACCATCCCTTCCACAATGAAGACAAATACAATCTGTCCCCTGTCCAGCTCCCTAATTTTGCTGGTTTTGGGACGGCCTCAGCCTGCTGGACAAGAGTCTCTTCAAATTGGGAGAGGCCATGATGCACTGCCTGCCTCCAGGCTGAACGCTCAGATGTCAGGGTTTCCCATCTGTTGAGGTCCATTCCTAAGGCCTTCAGATCCCACTTGCAGATATCCTTGTATCGCAGTTGTGGTCTCCCTCTGGGGCGATTTCCCTGCACTCATTCTCCATACAGGAGATCTTTTGGAATCCGACCATCAGCCATTCTCGCAACATGCCCGAGCCAATGTAGATGTTGCTCTTTCAGTAATGTATACATGCTAAAAATTCCAGCTCGTTCTAGGACTACTCTATTTGGAACTTTGTTCTGCCAGGTGATACCAAAATGCATCTGAGACAACGCCTATGGAAGGTGTTCAGTTTCCCCTACTGTCATGCAATACTTCCTGAAAGTTAACACTGTTTTAGTTACCATGACATTATATTCCACACACTAGCTTACATTCCATAAACCAGCTTTCTCTCACCACCCACGCGTGCACTGACTCACACTCAGCTGTCTGACTTCCAGACACATCCATTCTCCTCCATATATATCAAACATTCAAATTCCAGATCACAACTCCCTCTCTCACTTTCTAACTCTCCAGTCACAGCTTCCAAGGACTATGACTTGACTTGAGTTGAGTCAAAAAGCCAATGACGGACGGTACCATTGTCTATCATAGCGGTAATGATGTACTTTTCGACCTAATTACGCACAACAAGTTATCAGTACTAATGTACCATGGATGTATTGCGGAGTAGGCAATCATGCTGGGGAAAGGTGAAGGCAACAGGGAAAGAGGAAGACGGAACATGAGGTGGATTGACTCCATAAGTAAACCACAGCTTTTTAGCTTGGACGAAATGATTAGGGCAGTTAAACATCTTAACTGTTAGAGCAGTATGATGATGGAACCAATCATCTTGGGCAGTGCTGAGTGCTCCAATGCTGGAGGTATTCAAAAAAAATTGGACAGCCATATGTCAGACCAGCTTTGATTTAGATTCATGCATCGAGCAGGGGGTTGTACTTGACGGCCCCTTTAGGCTCCTTCCAACTCACTTATACTATGATTCTATTAATTTATGATTCTGTTAATGACAACTTTTGGAGGTTCACCACAAGTTGGAAGTGATTTGATGGCACGTAAAAACAACAGGTTATCAGAAATATCTGAGCAAGCCATAGTTTTGTTAGGCCTCACCAACACAGTACAGAACAGCTGCCCAGTTTTGCTACAGTACATTAATACCCGGCAAGGAGTTTGTTTCACCAAAAATACAGCTACTGGGAACAATGAAACAGTTCCCTCATTGTTGCTGAAGCTGCGTTTTTTCCCCCCTCATTGCCCTCAAAAACTAAGAATGCTGGAGTTTCTGCCTCCACAGCTAAAATGGGAGCAGCGTTCCCGATAGTGGGAACCCAAAGAGAGGGAAAGCATATAATCAAGAAAAATAACTGTGGGAAAAGATAACTTGTTTTAATTACCTTCAGAATTATACAGGGATTTGCTCTGGTGTACATTATAATCCCATTGCTTTGCAGAGTCCGCAGACGCAGCGCCAGCTTGAATTCCTCCTTCTTGCTATTTTCAGAAACCCGGTATTTGATGTAACTATTCCCAGCAAAGCTAAGGGAAGTGTGTCCTGAAATAACCATTTGGAGAAAAGACAGCGGCTTTTATTTTTGCTTGCTGAAATAAGACTCAGGAGATGATCCTATCGCTTGCCAAGAGGGAAAACAAAGTTAATTAAGGAAGATGCATGGTTAACAAGGAAGGAAGACTCTAATAAGGATCTGATAATGAAGAATCTTAAAAACCAAGCACATCATCGACAGATAAAAAACTTATCTCTGTTGTATGTGCACCTTACGTTAGGGAAGATTAACTCACTAATAAGGGGAGAAACGTTGTTCCTCAATAGGAATTATTGCTATGCATAAAACCAGAGTGGACAGCTTGTAAAAGCAAACCAGATAACAACAAAATTGTTATTCTGTTACTTATCACTTTTATGTGCCTGGACTAAGATTGTTCAATCTGCATTTAGGAAACCAAATCCAGCTGTGCAAGCGCACATAGTGCCCTGCTAAATACTTGCCCACTTGCTTTTTGCAGTTTCAGAAGGGTGAGAAAAGCCACAGGAATTTCTTGGCAAATCATAGGTTCTGCAGTCCTGCCAAAGGCATTATGGGTCCTACACTGGGGGTTAGGGTGGGATGTGTAGGGACATGGGAAGCAAAAACCCAGTCCTTTATTTCCTATATTATCTGGGGTTTTAAGCAAAGGAAGTCTGTTGGCTTGAGTATATTAGCACTGCAACCCCATCCTTAAATTAGGCTGGTAGATGTACTGCACCTTTGAGCCCTTTAAGGACCAGTTGACCAGAGGAGCCAATTGATTTCCACCTGGCTTTATAGAGCAACTGATTTTGACCTGGTATGTCAGTGTCTTCTTTGAACTACTAGCTATGGGCGACCCTATATTCATACTATGTGTCCGCATAAGAGGGCTCCCAGGCAGGTTAGCCAATGGGACAGTAACTGGACCAAAGATACCTGATGGTGGTCTGAACACAGACCAGTGGTAGGCAACCTTGTCCACTCCAGATGTTTTGGGTAACTCCCATAAATTCCAACCTGTAACCCCAATAATCAAGGATGATGGGAAATATAGCTCTAAACATCTGGAAGGCACCAGCTTGCTCACCCCACAATAGCCAGGATGTTGATACAGGTGCTCTTAATACCAACAGCAACTTTCCCCAACCATCCACCCTCCACATATTTTTTGGTAACTCCTCATACAGTCTATGGGGGGGCACATTCAAAAATGATATGAACCCTCCCTTAGATTTTAAGTTGACAGTGCAATGCCCAGGTTGGAGAAGGCACCACACAGGTGTTTTTCTATCTGACAAAGAGTAAACAGTTTGTTTTGGGGGATTCTTTACTTTGGTCCCTAGATGTGAAACTACCGCAATAACTCGCATTTTCTTCTCAGTTGTCTTAAATATCTGAACAAACACTCGTATGAGAGCCCAGGGTGTAGTGGTTGAGTGCTATACTCCACTGAACAATGACACTCACTGGGAGTAACTTCCTACTTGTCCCTCTCAGCCTGACACAGTTGTTGTCAGGATAATAAGGGGAGAGAAAGAGTAATCTACACCAGTAGATCCCAACCTTGGTTAACCCCAGTGTTCTTGGAGTTCAACCCCCAGAAACCTCAGTCAGCACAGCTAGTGGTGAAGGTTTCTGGGAGTTGTAGTCCAAAAACACTTGGGTTACCCAAGGTTGGGATCTACTGATCTACCATGACATCAGCACACTGGAAGAAAGGTGGGATCTAAATATAACTAACATATAATAAAGAAATAACCAGTAATGCTTCTTTTACTTTCCATTTATTTCCTGCTCCCCGGGGGGTTTTGCAATTGCAAATGCGATCGCATAACGTTGCCCCCTATGGGCGAAAATCGCTGTGCGACAATCAGTAAGCGTTTCACTTACCGATTGTTCGCATAGCGATGTCGGGGAAACAGCTGATCGGCGGTTCCAAAATGGCCGTTGGAAGAAAAAATGGCCACCGTAAGTGTTTTTGCGCCCTGCCCTCGCTTACCGAGGGTGCGAAAATGGCAGCGCTATGGAGGAGCTTTGCTCAACTGTGAGTTTAAGAGCCATAGGAACGCATTAAACTAAGTTTAATGCGTTTCTATGCGTTTTCGGTTCCGCAGAGCGATGTTTCACATAGCGAGGGTTAATCCGGAACGGATTAACCTCGCTATGCGAGGCACCACTGTATAACTAACATATAATAAAGAAATAACCAGTAATGCTTCTTTTACTTTCCATTTATTTCCTGCTCCCCTGGTATTGTACCAAAGAGACTTGTGGCCTCTCCCACAGGGTACGAATCCGCATAGTGAGGGGGGTTTTGCAATTGCAAATGCGATCGCATAACGTTGCCCCCTATGGGCGAAAATCGCTGTGCGACAATCAGTAAGCGTTTCACTTACCGATTGTTCGCATAGCGATGTCGGGGAAACAGCTGATCGGCGGTTCCAAAATGGCCGTTGGAAGAAAAAATGGCCACCGTAAGTGTTTTTGCGCCCTGCCCTCGCTTACCGAGGGTGCGAAAATGGCAGCGCTATGGAGGAGCTTTGCTCAACTGTGAGTTTAAGAGCCATAGGAACGCATTAAACTAAGTTTAATGCGTTTCTATGCGTTTTCGGTTCCGCAGAGCGATGTTTCACATAGCGAGGGTTAATCCGGAACGGATTAACCTCGCTATGCGAGGCACCACTGTATAACTGACATATAATAAAGAAATAACCAGTAATGCTTCTTTTACTTTCCATTTATTTCCCCTGGTATTGTACTAAAGAGACTTGTGGCCTCTCCCACAGGGTATATCTCCAAGTCAAGCAAGCATCAGCCCAAACCTCTCGCATTGCTCTTTGTTCTTCAGGCGGGACATCTTGAAGCCTTCAGTGTTGACCTTGAAGTGAAGAGGGATCAGGAGAAATGGAGAGCTGGCAGCAGTTAAGCAGACCCACAGTTTACCTGAACAAAATTTGTACCTGAGCACTCTCCAAGCTTTCCAGGAGGACACTGGCAAATAAAAGGCCTTCGGTTGATTTCATAGCCCACACACTGCATATCTCCTGGACATGGTTTATCTGTGCAAGGATCACTCAAGCCTGGACACAATGCACCTGTGGTACATGCAGAAAACAAACAAACATGTCTCTGTTACCCACTAAGAGAGTAAAAGGTTGATGGGGAAAGGTGGGATAGATGTGTAAGTTTTCCTCCTTGGTTGCCCATAGACAGGACATAAGCAAGATCTGATTTCCTGGGGTGTGGGATAAGATTATTTATTTATTTCATTTCCTAAAAAGGGGGAAAATACTCTTCAGCATGAAAGAAAAAGTTATGGTTGAAGGTAAAGGTTTCCCTTGACATTTAGTCCAGTCATGTCCGACTCTAGGGCGCGGTGCTCATCCCTGTTTCCAAGCCATAGAGCCAGCGTTTTGTCCGTAGATGGTTTCCGTGGTCACTTGGCTGGTGTGACTAGACACGGAACACTGTTACCTTCCCATCAAGGTAGTACCTATTTATCTACTTGCATTTACATGCTTTCGAACTGCTAGGTTGGCAGGAGCTGGGACAAGCGACGGGAGCTCCCTCCGTCGCGTGGATTCGATCTTACGACTGCTGGTCTTCTGACCCTGAAGCACAGAGGCTTCTACATTTTAACCCGCAGCACCACCACGTCCCTATGGTTGAAAGCATACCTTATAAAACACTCAAATCACAGGTCAACTTGCCCTCTTCATTCAAATCTTTTCAGGACAGGGTCCACAAGTAATGTAATCCAACCAGTTCTGTGTGCTCCACTCCACAGTGTTTAATGGTGGGGAATAAGCAGAATCATCTTCCTGGGAATCTCCTGAAAGCCCAGTGCTCCATTAAAAATGTGCACATTTTTTGAAGATGTGTGGGTTTTTAATAATGGGAAATCAATTTTTTATAAAACAAACAAACACGATCCCTCCCTAACTCTAATTTGGGGTGGAAGGTGTCACCTGCGAGAGGGTCTGGGAGGGAGAGAAACCCTTCAATTGCTAAAGTTGCCCATTCTTGTTTTAGGGTAATGGCCAGTAAGATACAGAATCCTGTTGATGGATTTGTTATGTCATTGTAGATGACAGCTGGGAAGTGAATATGACAAAACTGAATGGAAGGGAGAGGGTAGATACTGGACACTGGAAGCAACCTGCAGCTCTAAAGTATTGGCTCAGTCGGCAGCAGTAGGGATTTTCCTTAATGCCCTGACGTGGGGCAAACTGCACTCTCAAGAGTCCCTTGACAAGTGATTGCTGCACATGGGAGTGCCTTTTGCATACACACCCATTCACATACATGTATTCGCAACATTATCATGTCAACGATACACACCTCGGCTTATTTGAACAGCCGTCAAAGGAATCCTTAGATTTTTTGACCACGATGCCTGACAAAGCCATGAAAACCCATGAAAAAGGACCACACAAAAAGGAATGCACTCATAGGCTAACTTATGGGACTTCTAAGAAAAACCGGGCATTTAAGAGCACATTTAGAATGATGAGAAAGTTCTGAAGCAATGGATTGCTTTTGCTTCTCTTGAATTTCATCTTGATTGATAAAATCAAGAGTGAAACTGTGGAGATGGGTGGAAAGATGAATAGTGAATGGGCTATTTCAACTGTTCATACATACACGGAGGCACACCAATCTATATATGATGCATTTGTCAGAAAAGATGCAGTTTGACTTTAAATAAAATTAAAAAACATGGAATGAAACACCCTTACTGATTAAAAGGTGTTCCTATTAATTTTGCAAACTCAGTATTCTCCAGGCATGCTATTTATTTAAGTCTTGAGTCTTATCTACACAGTATAAAGAGTGCTGTGAACTTCTATAAGGTCAAACACCCTTTTGAGTTATCACATGCTTAGTTCCTAAAGAACTTCAGTTCCAGGTAAACATGGTTTTGCTTAATATGCAGCTCAAGATTATTTTGCATCACAGACCTTTTTTTCTGCAGAGAAATTATTACTGTAGATTTCAAACTGGACACCAGCTGCATACAAATACGGCTACGACTGTAAACGGCCGGGTCTGATATACAGTGCATTGCGGTCAATTTAATCTTGCACAGCACTCCCCCCACTTTGTCAAATATTTGCTCGCCGGGTCTCAAAGGAATAAAACAAACCCCAAGCCTGCCTCGCCAGAGCTGTGCAAAATGATGCGTGGAAGTTCTTATGAACAATTTATAGTCCTGGCTGCGTTAGTGGGAATATACGGCTGCGCTAAGAAACCTTATACTCGATTTGGAGCTGAGTTTTTAGTGCTGCAGACAACGCCTGTGTATTGCTGCGGTAGATATTATTTGCCAGAAACACGGATTAGAACTACAGGCGGACGTGGACAGCAGCTAGTTTTGCTGACTGGCACGAGAGGAAAAGGGACCGAGGCATTTTCCTCCCCAATGGCCTACATAAAAGGATGTGAAACTCTTATCAGTTTTAAGCTTTTTGATTTATCTGGATCCCACCAGAATTCTTATCTAAATTCTCTATTAGCTTATGAGACCCTTTATCTCCATCCTGCATAGAAATTCATGTGTACTTTGATATACGTATTTTTTATCCATTTTTCTTCATTTATGCACTTCTAACATGTTTTCTTCTTTTGAATAAGTGTCCCAAATCCACTTGGGTAATTTACCCAGCATTGTGGAAATGATGTCACTGGCAGTGACGGATTGCTAGATAATGGTTTTATTTTATTTATTTGTCTCATTGATAGGCTACCTTTCTCCCAATAAGAGGGCTAAAGAGTGCCTGCTTTGATTCCTCATTGTTTCAACTTCATCTAATTGTGCCTGGGTTATACGACACCGGGAATCAAAACAAAGAGTCTTTCATTAGCAACAATTTACTGCTGGCAATGTTATTTCCCCTACATCAGTGAAACCTGTGCAAGAAAGTGTTGGGCAGTGTTTGTACTCACTTTTTCCAACATACACATTTTAATTATGTGCATATAATCTTGAGTTATGCATGTGATGTAGTTGGTAGAGTTACTGGAAAGCTAGTGTGGCGGAATGGATAGAGTGTTGGATTACGGCTCAGGATATCTGGGTTCAAATCCCTGCGTGGGTATAGAAATTCATGGCCATGAACTTTTTTGACAATTCACATATCTCAAAAGCCTTATTATGGTCATCATAAGTGAGAAATAGCTTGACAGCACATAACAACAAATGGCTTTAAAGCAAAGAAGCAAAGCAACAATCTGGAGCTGGTGGTTTCCTCTCCATTAAGGGAAAGAAAAAGTGATAAACTCATTATCAGTGGCTGAAATCCAGTGATAAGTTATAACTAGAGTAGGTGCACTGAATCAATGGAACTTATGGAGGATTTGATTCGCCAGATTCCCCACTGATTCAATTGCCTACTCTAGTTGCCACTTACTACTGGATTTCAGCCATTGATTTGGGTCATGATATGAATTATTAAACCCTATGAAAGTCCTTGCCTTCAATAAAAGAATGAAAAGTTATTCTTTTTACTAATCGTTTCGGCAATTTGTGCAAAATGTCTCTGTGTAAGACTAGTGTATTTTCTCTTTATGAAACTCAACATGTACACATGCTCTCTCTCTCTCTCTCTCTCACACACACACACACACACACACACACACACACACACACACACACACACACACACACACACAGCGAGCAAATACTGGACTGGCTGATTGCACAAAAAGATGCAATAACTCAATGTTTTTGCATCTTAAAAATCTATGCAAGGCAGCAATTACAGTTTTGAGCAGTTTGCGTTATTTGTACAAAAAGTCCAACTTTGATTGACAGAAAATACTTTGTCCCCGCCCCCCTTGTTCTCACATGGAGATTTACCTTTCTGGTACACATGCTTTCATTAATAGTCTCTCCCACTGTAAACTGGATACCTTTGTTTTTAAAAAAATCATTCATCTGAATTCCACCCCCCCATTCCTTCATATATAAACCTGTCCCATTGTCACAAGCACAATTAATTTTTGCCCCTCTTCTGCCACTGGGATTGGGAAGAACAGGGAGATGCAGAGGGGATCAGGACATGACCTCAAAATGAAAAGACACAGATGTTTCCTGTGTTTATAACAGCAGCTCAGCCTGTAGAAATCGGCAGTGAAGCTTTTCACACTTCAATTATTTGTTTCATCAAAAAGCGAATCACCTATATAACTATTTCCCTTTCTGATATTAAGACCTTTATCCCTCTGTTCTGTTTGTTTTCAATATGATCAGCAGCACATTAAAAATTATGATCTCTCTTCCAAAAATTTGAGGAAATCCTTGCTCTATTTTCCTTCAATTTTCATTTAAATGCAAGGAGATTTGGCAGCCAACGTCTATAATGCTCTGTTACAAAATACAGAATAGTTGCGATTATGCCTCTAGAACTATTCAATTGTCCATCTGATTCCATCAGCATTGCCAGCGTATTTTCCATGTACTGCATAGTAAGAACACAGATCTGTATGCAGAGGGCATTTGTTCTCAGCACACAATTAAATTTTATGTCATGTCAGGCAATAATTTTCAACAAGCCCCTCTGTGGCTGACAGAAAGACAAGTCACTTCTGCGAAAAAGGCTTCAGGACTTATGAATATCCATAAGCTCGTGGGAAGGGAGTCCTGCAGAGATTGCAGATGGAGCCACCACATGTTTTTGCAACCTTTTAACCTCTGGTGAAATCTCTGACACCACACAATAAAATCAGTAAGCAGCCTTGTAATCAATCTTTGCCACTCTCAGCTGATTCAGACTCAGAGCAGAACCACTACCCTATGAAGCCCTGAGGCGTGTGAGAAAAAGCAAATCATTTAATGTGACAGGACTGTAAAGCTGGTGGCCCAGCAAGCCAAATATGGCCCACCAGCTGTGTGAGGAGGCTTCACAGGTGCTTGAGCATAGACAAATAGCAGAAGTGGGGGAACAACGTCAAGCTCTTGCTAAGCCTTCACTGAAGGCCTTCAGGCTGAGTTCTGCTTTATGTATTACTATGTGCATAAGCAATCACAGGAAACACTTGTTCTGGCAAACTGTTGAAGGAAAACCTTCCACAACAGAGGTATGAAGAATACTTC